ACAAAGGTAAGTAGCATTCTGAAATGTAGCGAAGACATGGGTATGTTTTGGCGTGTGAGAGGTTTAAATGTTGCTGGCGTCGTTACTATGACGTCCCCACAACACACCCGTCTCCACAACACTAAAATGTAGTAACGTCTCATGATGACTTTTGGCTGCATGTGAAGGTCTAAACCAAGCTGGCGTTACTATGACTTCCCCTCAACAAACTCGCCACAACACCGCCCGTTTGCCTCGTGCCGAAGTTACCGAGCCCCACTGTAGCCGGTAATGCAGGTGTTTGGAGAGTTTGCGACACGCGCCGCTGGAGTCAAGTGGCTTTGCCTTCGTGACGTGCTACTGAGGGGCATAGTCCACGGGTATCCAGAACTGTGCCTGGGGCAAATCTACGTCTAAAATACACAGAGACTATCCCGACCCGTGCTTGATCCTAACCTAATCTATTCAGACATTGAGCTAGAAAAGTACGGTTATGGATTCGCGGAGACTATAAAGAATTGCGACCCTAACCCATGCAAACAAAACTAAGCATGCTTCTGGATACGATATAAACTTTCCAACTCTCTGTACTTATACCATGTCAATCGGGCGTTCACCTTAAGTAGCACCAACGTCATAGTAACTAGGTCATTTTCCCATAGATTTTATGTCCTAATCTTTGTTCCATTCTCGGCACTGAGAATCTTGGCAAGGTTAAGCGACGGTCACAACCAGCCGTACGTGCTTTTTCTCCGTACGTTTTTTGGGAGGCTACGTCTGCTACGTTTTTTCTGAAAACGTGGAGAAGGAGTGGCGTCGACGCACGTCACTCGCACGTCACTCGCACGGTTGCACAAAGTGTAAGAGTGTGGTCTGCACGCCAAGTCTGGCCGTGAGCGGTTGCGTGCATCGTACGTTGAGCAAGTGGTAAGTGAGTTGTACGTGCTTACAACGTACGATCTCTGTGCGATTGCAACTTTACCGTAAGGATGCCGTACTCACACGTGCTTCTTCCGCACGGCACGTACGGGGCACGCGCGTCGCTCGTACTCGCACGCACGGGTGGTGAATCCGCAGAGCGCACGTAGAAAAAGTTTTACATCCACTTAAAGTTCTACGGCGTGTCTGCGTGCTCCCAGATCCGTAGGATTCCGTACGGAGGTGCTACTCACCACTCACGGATCCCCTACGTTTGCCCACGTTTTTGCACGTAGACAGCACGCAGAAGCACGTACGGCGGGTTGTGACCGTCGCTTTACACAGTTCCTTGTTCTAGGATGCTGTGAGTTTTTTTTTTCAAAATGAAAGGTTTGGATGTCATAACATATCAAAACAAAGACCTTTAAGATGGTGTAAAGTCTATCCCTGACCTTGAACTTAATTCAGTAGGGTTTCGCCTATGGGTTAAGACACTGCTGTTCACCGCTTCTACGATGATCATGATGATCAACACTAAAATCTGTGTTTAAGGCTTTGTGGCGCAGGACAATGTTGCCATGTAAAGGGTATTGATGGGCATTAAACACTTTGCTCCTTTTGGCACGTCAATTGACCGCCAGGGCGTTCACCCCTAGTAACACCGCCGCTTACTCATACAAATGTCGACTTTTATATTATGATGAGTTTTATTAGTTATTGGTTATGTCTCGTTTTGGCGCTGACAATCCCACATCTTGGCAAAGTTACACAGTCCCTTGTTCTAGAAAGATAATGTGCGTTATTTGTTTTCAAAATGAAAGGTTTGGATGTCATAACATATCAAAACAAAGACCTTCAAGATGGTGTAAAATATACCCCTGACCTTGAACTTAATCGAGTAGGGTTTCGCCGCATGACGGGTTAAGACACTGCTATTCACCACTTCTAGTTTGATCATGATGATCAACACTAAAATCTGTGTTTAAGGCTTTGTGGCGCACGGCAATGTTGCCATGTAAAGGCCATCTATGCCTAAAAGTGGCCAAAAAGAATTGGCCTTGCATTGAGCGACACCGTTAAAAAAATCTTATGGCACGTCAATTGACGTCAGGGCGTTCACCCATAGTAACACTGCCACTTACCCAGTCTGGTTCATGCAAATGTCAACTTTTATATTATGATGAGTTTTATTAGTTATTGCTTATGTTTCCTTTAATTTGACTCACTGTACCGTGTACATTATCAAGTTCACTAGATGTACTATTATTTACTCTTTGCTCCTTTAATACCTCCTTTGTTTTGTTATAATTAGTCATACATACGATATGTACATATAGACCAACTCTCTGTAGTAATCGGCCTGCAGGACGTTCACCTTAAATGGCACCTCCGTCTCTATAAATAGTTACCGGGTCTGGTTTGTGCAGGCCATGAGTTTTTAATGGAAGAGTTTGGAGATGTTACGGCACGTACCTACCACTATTGCTAAGTCTGTGCAATTAAAGCATGCAGTATCGCGGCATGTTCTTTACCCGCTGTACACTTAAGGGTAAAGGACCGAGGCCTGTGGCAATGGCCGGTTGTAATTTGGACACCATCTCTGTATAATTAACGTATCTGTATCTGCATAGCGGCCGGTATAACTTCGGCGTAACACACCAGCTTAAAAGACATATCTTATAGTATGCTTATAAGGACATTAATTCATTTGCTTACCAACGCAAGAGGTTACCTAGTGCAAACAAAGGTACAGTAGCATTCTGAAATGTAGTGAAGACATGGGTATGTTTTGGCGTGTGAGAGGTTTAAATGTTGCTGGCGTCGTTACTATGACGTCCCCACAACACACCCGTCTCCACAACACTAAAATGTAGTAACGTCTCATGATGACTTTTGGCTGCATGTGAAGGTCTAAACCAAGCTGGCGTTACTATGACTTCCCCTCAACAAACTCGCCACAACACCGCCCGTTTGCCTCGTGCCGAAGTTACCGAGCCCCACTGTAGCCGGTAATGCAGGTGTTTGGAGAGTTTGCGACACGCGCCGCTGGAGTCAAGTGGCTTTGCCTTCGTGACGTGCTACTGAGGGGCATAGTCCACGGGTATCCAGAACTGTGCCTGGGGCAAATCTACGTCTAAAATACACAGAGACTATCCCGATCCGTGCTTGATCCTAACCTAATCTATTCAGACATTGAGCTAGAAAAGTACGGTTATGGATTCGGGGAGAATATAAAGAAATGTGCCTGATTGTAACTCTAAACCATGCAAACATAGAACTAGGCACGGTTCTCGACACCATATAAAGTATATTCTCTGCACTCATGTAATGTCAATCGGCCGGTCGGGCGTTCACCCCAGGTAGCACCTCCGTCTCTATAAACAGAGTGTAAAACACGCATCCATTCCTATTGCCAGGTTTATGCTTTATGTTGTTACGGCATGCAGTATTACAATTTACACCATAATCATACTTGTCTTACACCGTCAACCCCATGCCAAAGCAGATTCTAAGTTGAACTTTACCACTGTACAATTACTTATCTTTTGATTTGCTTTTATTAGTAAATTTCTTCTATTACATAGAGGCATAACCAGTCCCCATAAAAATAGTGCAACATTCTAAAACGTATTGATATTTAACAGATATTATACTTTGTGAGAAATGGTCTAAATGTTGGCATCAACCAGGCTATCGACGTCGTTACTATGGCGTCAGCTCAACACGCCCGTCCCCACAACACCGCCCGCTCCCAGGTTTGCCTCGTGCCGAAGTTACCGAGTTCGAGTAGCCGGTAATGGACTTGTTTGGAGAGTTTGCGCCGCGCGCCTCTGGAGTCAAGGATGCGACTTGGACTTCGTGACGTCCTTCTGAGCCACGCACCAATCAGCGCCCTGTATCCGCGTGTCTGATTATAACACCTCCATCCTGCAGAAGTAGCGCCACAGTCGAGCTCAGCTCTACAGACGGGCAGGATGTGGAAACTGCTTCTGATCGCGGCTGTAGTCGTCTGGCCGGCCTCGGCACAAGGTAGGCGTACACTTTGTGTTAGTAGCTCTTTAATTGGGAGGAAGAATGGGGCTGCTCACTTAGGTATGCACAGTTTAGATATGCAGGAGTGCATAATACTGTTGTGTCAAGAACCGTGCTTTATCCAACTATGCTCAGGCAAGATTCTGGATTGTCTGCGCGTATCCAGAACCGTGCCTGGGGGAAACCTATATTTTGGATGCATGGGAACTATCCAGAACCGTGTCTGATCCTAACCCTATAACTCATTCATGTTTAGAGCGAGACAGGTGCGGTTTTGGATACGAGATATGTTTACACACGAGTTAGCGGATATATGAGTCCTGGATAAAGATTAATAAAGGGGTAATGCCCCGACCCGAGGTGTAACGTCATATGATGAAATAATCCCTGGTCAGGTGCAATATCCACCGAATAAACTACCAAGTGAGGTGGTTTATGAGGTGGTTATGGCACCCGACCAGGGATTGGCACCATTATACACCTAGGATAAGGCGGGGCATTAATGTTAGTATCATATAGCCTATAGAAAGGACATAGTACATAGATCCTAGTCTCGCGAGAGGACACGAGACTAGGACGAGACTTGCGTGAATCTTCTGCCCCCCTCTGCCTCCTTTCGGAGTAGAGGTAGGTAGGGCTTAGGCAGCTCCCAGCCTTCGTTGCGGTTCAGCTTGGCTCCCACTAGTTGGATGCGTATGGCCTCCTTGATTTTCCGGTGGGCGTTGCGGGCTTCCTGATCGATGATTTCGATCGTGTCTAGTATGGGTTGGGTGGTGACTCTATGTCCAGTCTGTAACTGATGTTGACTCAGTGCAGATTTGTAGTCCTTACGGTCAATCGACTTCTGGTGTTCACCTGACCTTTCCCCCAGCGACCTCTCTGTTTCTCCCACATACGACTCACCGCAGTGTTCGCAGACAAACTTGTAAATGACGCCACACTTTTCGCTGGGATCTAAAAGGTCTTTTGGGCTAACCAGCTCATTACGCAGAGTGTATCCTGGTTTTGAAAACAGGCTAACGTTGTGTTTGGCAAACACTGGTTTCAGTCTTTCTGTGGTCCCTTTAATGTAATGGAGTACAGCAAAGCTGGTAGGTGTTTGTCCCCTGTCTCCACGCTGAGTGTCCTTGCGGTTTCTCTGCTGTGTTTTCCTGTTATCCGCTTCTCTAAGGGCCCAGTCTGGATAGCCGTAGTGACGGAGTGCGTTCCTCACTTTTCCTTTCTCTACTTCTCTCAGGGTGCGGTCCTGGATAAGAGTGTCTGCCCTGTGCATTAAGGTTTTAACAATGCCGAGTTTCTGCTGGACGGGGTGGTTGGAGGACCACTGTAGGTAGTGGTCTGTATGTGTCTCCTTACGGTAGACATCCGTAGTGATGGTACGGTCCTGGTCCTAGATCCACGCAAGTCTCGTCCTAGTCTCGTGTCCTCTCGCGAGACTAGGATCATTCCGTGATCAAGACGAACTGACTAGTCGTCGAAAATTCGGAGGTATGTACCTTAGGATTTGATAGTCACTGATTGAAAGAATTCTTACTGAACTTAAACTATACCTGACTGATGAATCTCTTCAATAAATTCGAAAGATCTTACATTCTATGTTACGTGATACAGAAAAACAAATCATTTTGGCGATCATCTGCGGTGACCACTTGACATTGGAACAATACCACTTTTAGTGTGGGTGTCAAATAATAGGTTTTAGCTTTTTCTGTTTAACGTTTAAAAATCTCAATCTCCCCCCTCTCTCTCTTGTGTGTGTGTGTGTGTGTGTGTGTTTGTGTGTGTGTGTGTGTGTGTGTGTGTGTGTGTGTATGTGTGTGTGTGTGTGAGTGTGTGTATGTGTATGTGTGTGTGTGTGTGGTGTTTTGTCATCATCATCAAAATAATCTACTCTACATTCCAACTACTTGAAAAAACTTTACATAAGCTGGTGATAACAAATTTTCTTCCTTCTTCAGGTGAACAGGTGTACCTGGTCACACATGACACCTGGGCCTTTTATAAGGTTCGTGTGAACGGATCGATGACTAATACAAACGTGAAATCGACTTGTACGGCTGCGGGGATGGACTATCCGTGCCACTGGTCAGGTGCTGCTGGGTGTACCAGCCACTGGACCTCAGACTGCATCACGTATGTCGGTACCGGTAGTTACCCCTGTCACACCCACGCGGTCCTCTCCACTAAACTGTGTGGACACGATGAACCCTGGGAGTGCCAGCCCCTTGATGACACCTTTGTGTACTACCCTGGCTGGGGTGATCACAGCGCCTGGGGAGTGGACTACAACACTCTAACCTATCTCCTGCATTTAGCAGACAACAACAACATGTATGCCCTGTGTGCAGGTGAGGCCGCAGCCTCCATATAGTTACACACAACACTGATAAATCCATGCATTTTCGTCTTACTGCTGGGAGGTAACATGTCGTAGCAAAATACATATATATATTCATATATGTATCTCTATATATACATATATGTCTCTCTCTCTCTCTCTCTCTATATATATATATATATATATATATATATATATATATATATATATATCCATATATATATATATATGTATATATATATATATATAGAGAGAGAGAGAGAGACAGCGAGAGAAAGAGAGAGAGAGATGACTTCTAGAACAAAATATATATATAACATGGGTTCTAAAACTAATATAATTATGATTAACCATTTAAAACAAAGGCTTTTAGCCTGAATGGTAGCCTCTTAATATGGTATGATGATCTTGCATCCTTGTAAATATGATATGACAAGTGTACGTTAACGTTTGAACAGACTTCATGTTGCATTGTTACCGTTGTTACGTGCCAATTGAAATAAATCTGAACCTGCCATCCCCAGTCGCTACTACATGTGAGGCCTCCCCATGTGCACACGGAACCTGTACTGGTGGTGACCAAGGCTACACCTGCACCTGTGAGAGTGGCTGGACAGGACGCAACTGTGACCTAGGTTGGTATTTTGTTGTTTTATTGTACAACAGAAAGAAGTTAATATGTTTATGACATACAGCAGTCAAGGGAGACACAAAACGCTACCAATCAAATGAATACAAAATGATGGTGTGACTGTCGTACATTTTCAGCAGCTTTCTGAGTAATTTAATTATGAAGTACCAAAGGCTGTTATGTTGTATTACTTTATTCTGGTTGTTTTACTAAATCTTTAGTTTTATTTCTTTCAGACATCGACGACTGCCTGTCCTCCCCATGTGCACACGGAACCTGTACTGACGGCGTGGCGAGTTACACCTGTAGCTGTGAGAACGGCTGGACAGGGAACAACTGTGATCAAGGTTAGTATTTGCTTATTTCATAAAGATAAGTGTAAAGATTAGTGCCCTGTTTGGCATTGACATTTAAGAAAGTATAAGTGCATATGAAACTGTCATTGTGGTTGCATAGATACAATAATAATAATAACCTTTATTGTACATTCATGCCCTATCGGGCTAAGTACAGGTCAACAGATGGAATAGGTAATATACATGTTTGTAGTATAAACAGTTCTAAAACTACTCTAATACAGGGGTTCGGCTTCTTCTCGTTTCTTTGTGATGTTGAAAATATAATTTGAGATGGGTTTGTATAGTACAGAATGATCAAAGCGCATAAGAAAGATAAATTTTTCAATATTAGGCAAGTGTTCGAAATATGGAAACGTAGTAGCAATATATCTAAAAAGATCATTTCTTTCATTACTATAAAAACTACAATTAATAACAAAGTGGGCTTCATCTTCTACTTTGTTTGAGCTACAAAATTGGCAAATCCTTTGCTCCAGAGGTGTGCGGTTGTGCCTTCCTGTTTCGATGCTGAGTTTACAAAGATCTAGAAGAATAGAATAGCAATGCATTCTGTATAAGACTTGTAATATTTGAGCTTTAATTACCAGACATCGATGAGTGCATGTCCTCCCCATGTGCACACGGAACCTGTACTGACGGTGTGGCGAGTTACACCTGTAGCTGTGAGAACGGCTGGACAGGGAACAGCTGTGATCAGGGTTAGTATTTGGTTGCTTCTTTGACATCAAAGTGCCTTGCTATTTTACTGATATTCAAGAGAAGCTATTGTTGTTTAAAATGTCATCGTGGATGCATTATTATACCGAAAGAAAGAAGTAAAAACAATTGCATAAGACTTTATCTATAATACCTGTACTTTTTATCAGACATCAATGAGTGCTTGTCCTCCCCATGTGCACACGGAACCTGTACTGACGGCGTGGCGAGTTACACCTGTAGCTGTGAGAACGGCTGGGAAGGGAACAACTGTGATCAAGGTCAGTACTATTTTTAAACTACGCTAGGAGATTGACATCAATGGTTAGACACTGGATTGCCAAATGAAAAGTATTACTCAAAACATTGGATGACATGAAAGTGTAGTTTATGTGACTTTCATTCTTAAAATAGAGTAAGAAGTCTTTATTTTTCAGACATTGACGAGTGCGCGAGCAATCCTTGTCAGCTGGGAGGAACCTGCCTGGATCACGTGAACGGCTACAGCTGTGTCTGTCCTAAAGAAACCACTGGGAAGGACTGTGAAACTGGTAGGGCTCTTGTTTCTAGAGGAAACGATATACATTTTTTTTAAAACTACAGCATTTGTAAATTTAAGCTATTTTCATTACTTCTAAGCGTACTTATATTCACTTGATTTTGACAAATCGTATCGTACTTGGCCCAACGTTTTCTGTAATTTGGCGAAAATATTTTTTTTCAAGTACATTGTACTATTTCTGTTTTGTAGCATCTTTTGCCGGGGACTGCTACCAGTTCTCGACCTCAGCTGCCACCCATCGGGACGCCACCCAGGCCTGCAGTGCCAACAGCGGCCGCATGGTGGACCTGAGAGACCCGCAGCAGCAACAGTTCCTGGCGAACACCATCGCGGCCTCCACCGGCGTCTCCAACTGGCTCGCCATGAAAACCGCGCCGCTGCCTTTCTTTTACAGCGATGGATCGCCTGTTCAAGGTACATGCTTAGACAGACATGGCTAGTGTCAAACTCGCACATTGCATACAATGAACAAGGCAGCATCAGAGAATGGCCATATCTTCACACATGGGATGTACGTATTAGTTATCAAAAACTTTGTCTTGTTAGTGAGAATCTTGATCTAATCTTTCGCCTACATTTCAATAAAATTATCAGGTAAAGCATCTTTAAGAATTACGTAAACATTGTTACAACTTTAACTCAGACATTCCTTCAAAGATGCGCCTCTTATAGTATCTTTTCTTAGCATAAATGTCAAATTGTTCTATCATTATTTTTTTCCAAAACAGCTCCCCTGCAGTGGTCAGTAGACGAAGTCTCGTCCCCGCTGGACCTGTGTGTTCTCCTGGACAGCTCCGACAACTACAAGGCGAACAAGGCGTTCTGCACCGAGCAGCACAACTACGTCTGCATGTCCGGTACACAGGCATTCCTTTTTCTTTCAGATATCTTCTTCTTTCATTCATCATGTATCTTATACAGAATCCAACATGGTTTCAGTTAACATAGGTCAGCCCAAAATAGTCCACGAAATGTTACTTGTGATGTCCTTTTCTCTGATTGCAGTCCTCAAACCGTGTGAGCCAAACGTGTGTCAGAACGGCGGAAACTGCACCTCCTGCTTCGGAGACTCTACCAATTACTGTGACTGTCCGGACGGGTTCGACGGCAAGACTTGTGAGATAAGTAGGTACTTCAAGACGCTAGGTTTCCTCAGAATTGCACTGTCAACTGATTTATGATGCTACGTCTGTCCAGAGTCGCACATTCATCAGATTCTCTCTTCTCGTAAAATAAAACATGCCTATCAAAATGTTCAAAGAAAGTTAAACCTGCCTAGAGTAAATGGGGGAAATGGTTACAATTAAGAATTGGCAAGATTTTTGATGCGTTGTTCAATGGAAAAATAGTATAAGATCGTGACAAGATCAAGACGTTTCATGTAAATTGTCAGATCTTAGTGTGCCAACTCCTCTTCAGTGACAACTTACGGAAGAAATTGGATAAATGCTTAATGATAGCTTTATTCTTTAATACCTCAACAGACATAGACGAGTGCGCCTCCGGTCCGTGCCAAAATGGCGGGAGTTGCCATGACGACGTCAACTCCTACCACTGCGCCTGCCCAGTCGGCTACCATGGAGACCACTGCGAGTCAGGTTAGCATAACATGGAAATAGGAAGTCTCAGCAACCGTCCTCATCGCCTGAATAGACTGTAGTACTACTTATTGTCGCAAGGATGCACTCCCAAACGTGGCTGAGTCTATGCCGTGTCACGTTTGGGACCGCATGGCAACCTAATGAAGCTAATGCACGACTAAAGGCCCTTTGATGCCTGGCATTGCAGCGCATTCTAGCATTCTTTCTGCCATATCCAATCTTCAGACCAACACTGTCACAACACCTTTCGTCGAAATGTTTTCCTTACCTTTCTTCTGTTCTGTTTTATCTAGACACGGACTGGTGTTCCGAGGTCCAGTGTCCGCACGGTTTTGTCTGCCAGGACTTCACGTTCTACTTTGTCTGCGTCCGTGAGTACAATTTATTTCAGTCTTTTTCGTCATATCATGACTATGGATAAAATATACTGCTTTTCCTAATGTTTCTACTTGATATCGCAGTTATCACATCGTGCTGTTGGCTAAATCGCCCTGCAAAAAATGTATCATTGAATGCAGTGATATAAAATCAAGACCTACAGTTTATTTATACTGATTTGTTATTCCATTAATCTGTCACTGGCACTTCCACTGGCAAGAATCAAGTATTGTCACAAGTGTTTTTCTTTCTCGAAACACTCTTTGCGAAAGTTTACACGAATATTCATAAATGCGAGAGTGAATGTCATCATGATGCCATGTGGTCTATCCTTTTTAACCCTAAAAAGAATAGACATCTTGGATTTTGGCCCTAACGCTACCCAAAAAATCTAAGTTTGGTGGCCCTAGCGCAAGCTGTTCGGATGCTATCCGACATCAAAGTTGGCACGGGCACTTTTAGCCCCCCCCCCAGTCTAGATAGGGTTAATCTTATAGGAAAATATTGATACACTTAAGTACAATGATCAGTCATTATATTTTAGTTATCACCTCAGAAAGAAACATTGTGAACACTGTTTGCATCTAGACCCATCTTCCGTCGCCCGCGGGATCCCGTACCAGTGCAGCAGCGCCTCCTGTCCGGACGGCATGTACTGCACCCAGGAGGGCGTGGCAGCCTTCTCTTGCAGGCCTGAGGAGTGACGTCATGACCGAACCCTCCCACGTGACAACAAGCAACCAATGGCTGCCTACATGCGAGCCTTAAAAGTGTGCTGAGTTTTGTTTTTGGTTTGATCTAGAGTCTAACTAGAGTTCCACGACATCATACCTTCGCCAAAAGTTAACCTTTTGACTGATAAATTAAAGATTATTCCCCAACAGTTGATTATATTCTCCACTTAACTATCTTAACAAAGAAGGCCATTCCATAATTTCCTCATAATTTATGCAAATGGAACCCAAATTTGAATAAGACATGTTTAATTGATAATGTTCACCTTCGTTTAAATTTCAAATGCCTCAAATACAAAGTATTAAACAAGTCCATCCAGCTGTTCTTGAGTTATCTTGTTGACCAACAGACAGAATGACAGAATGACTAACGCAACTGAAAATATGACCTTCTTGGCGAAGGTAACTAGAGATAGTGGATATTAGATTCAATAAAATGCAGCAAAAATCATATTCTATAGTTTCTGTCCATTTTTTTGACTCATTTAATACTGCAGCGTCGATTGTACATGTCTGGACTTTGTTTGAACTTTGCATTTTGAAATGATTTAAAGAAAAGAATTATTGCATGTGAAAACACCTCATATAGCTGTGTGCCATATAGCTATAGACGTTTGTGGGGCTAGGAGACACATTTGTATCTTTTGAAGTAAGCTAACTAGTGTCATAATAGAACGAACCGTCCAACAGTTGACACACGGACGTCAGGAGTCCAAAGTTCAAAGTCCACGGTTATCCAGAACCGTGTCTGGGGCAAATCTACATTCTTGGATACGCAGAGACTATCCAGAACCGTGCCTGAGCCTAACCTTAACCCATTTGGGATAGAGCTAGATATACATAGAACTAGATGATGATCATGATGACTAGCTATATAGATAGGCACGGTTCTGGATGTGATATAAACTACCCAACCCTCTGTACTCATGTCAATCGGCCTGCAGGACGTTCACCCCAAGTAGCACCTCCGCCTGTATAAACATCGCCGTTACCGGGTCTGGTTCGTGCAGGGGATCAGCGGGTTTCTATGGAAGGGTTTGGAGAGCTTATACTAAAAGTTAACCAGTAACAGTCGTACCCACTTCTATTGCCACGTGTGCTGTATATGTATATTTACAGCATGTACTTTATACGCCATTCACTTAACTACATGCCAAAGAGACTATCAAGAATCGTACCTGATCCTAACTCTAACCCATTCAGGCACTGGAAAAAAAAGGGAACTGTTCTGGATACGATATACATGTCGGCTATATTCAACCCTTTACTTGTACTGTGTTATATCAATCGAGGTCGTTGACCCCAAGTAGCGCCTACGTCTTCGTGCAGGGGATCATGGGTTTTCAATGGGAGAGCTTCAATGGAGAGATTAAAACATGTACCCGATACCATTGCCACGTGTGCTGTAAATGTATTTGGTTACAGCATGTACCTTATACGCCGTTCACGTAACTACATGCGAAAGAGACTATCCAGAATCGTGCCTGATCCTAACCCTAACCCATTAAGGCACTGGAAAAAAAAGGAACTGTTCTGGATACGATATAGGCTATATCCAACCATTTGTACTCTGTTATATCAATCAAACGGAAGGGCGTTAACCCCAAGTAGCACCTATCTACGTCTTCGTGCAGGGGATTAAGCGTTTTCAATGGAAGAGTTTCGAGAGATTAAAAATAAAACACGAACCCACTACTATTGCCAAGTGTGGTGTATGTGGTTACGGCATGCAGTATTACGGCATATACTTATTATATTAACTACAAGGCAATGGCCGATTGTAATTTGGACTCCACCACTGTACAATTGATGTATCTTATCATATGCTTTAACTAGGACGTTTCTTTGCTCACATAGTGACATACCTGTTCCTTATTAAGGTAGGGTAACATTGTAAAATGCTGTAATATCTATCTGTAAAGACATGAATATTTTGGGGGCGTGTGAGAGGTACAAATGTTGCTGGCATCAACCAGACTGTCGTTACTATGGCGTCAGCTCAACACACCCGTCCCCACAACACCGCCCGTTCCCAGGTATGCTTCATGCCAGGATTACTGAGTCAGATTAACCGTTAATGCACCAGTTAGGAGAGATTAAAACACGCACAGCGCGCAAAACACGAACCTGCTACTATTGCCAAGTGTGGTGTATGTGGTTACGGCATGCAGTATTACGGCATATGATCATTAACTACAAGGCAATGGCCGATTGTAATTTGGACTCCACCACTGTACAATTGACGCATCTGAAAACATGCTTTTATTAGGACGTTGCTTTGGTTACATAGTGACATACATGTACCTATTCCTTATAAAGGTATGGTAACATTGTAAAATGCTGTAATATCTATCTGTAAAGACATGAATATTTTGGACCGTGTGAGTGGTCTAAATATTGCTGGCATCAACCAGACTGTCGTTACTATGGCGTCAGTTCAACACACCCGTCCCCACAACACCGCCCGTTTCCAGGTATGCTTCATGCCAGGATTACTGAGTCAGATTAACCGTTAATGCACCAGTTAGGAGAGATTAAAACACGTACAGCGCGCAAAACACGAACCCGCTACTATTGCCAAGTGTGCCGTGTGTGGTTACGGCATGCAGTATTACGGCATATAATCATTAACTACAAGGCAATGGCCGATTGTAATTTGGACTCCACCACTGTACAATTGACGTATCTTATGATATGCTTTTTAGGACGTTTCTTTCCTTACATAGTGACATACCTATTGGTAATAAAGGTAGGGCAACATTCTAAAATGCAGTGATAGCTAATGGTGAAGACATTAATATTTTAGGGTGTGTGAGAAGTATAAATGTTGCTGGCATCAACCAGACTGTCGTTACTATGGCGTCAGCCCAACCCACCCGTCCCCACAACACCGCCCGTTCCCAGGTGTGCTTCATGCCAGGATTACTGAGTCAGATTAACCGTTAATGCAACAGTTAGGAGTTCAGGATGTGGCGCGGAATTCACGACGTCATACCCAGGCCTGCACCAATCAGCGCCCTGTATCCACGTGTCTGAATATAACACCTCCGTCCTGCAGAAGTAGCGCCACAGTCGAGCTCAGCTCTACAGACGGGCAGGATGTGGAAACTGCTGCTGATCGCGGCTGTAGTCGCCTGGCCGGCCTCGGCACAAGGTAGGCGTACACTTATTGTTAGTAGCTATTTAATTAGGAGGAAGAATAGGGCCGGAAGGATAGGGCCGGATACTCGCCCAGGTATGCACAGTTTAGATATGCAGGCGTGTATATTACTGGGGTCTGTTGTGTCAAAAACTGTGCTTTACCCCAACCATGCTCAGGCATGTGCACGGTTGTGGATTGTCAGCGGGTATCCAGAACCATGCCTGGGGGAATTTTTTGTATTTATATTTTTGGATACATGGGGACTATCCA